CATCATACAAATCGCAATCGCATCGTTGATGACTGACGAAACCGGAATCTCTATCCGGCGATCACTAAAAGCAGAAAAAATGCGATCATGGGAAAGTTTCAAGAAGAAATTGAGTGAATTTTTGGGTAGATCAAAGGACTTCTATCGCCATCAATTACGCACATACCAACGTGGTGGTGAAACAACTGGTGTTTGTCTTGCGAAAATCACCGACTTTTTCATGAGTGCTTACAATAAAGAGACCCTCTCCGAGTCTGACGAAGATATGATTGTTGAGTTCTTCATTAACGCCCAAGACAACGGGCTCAAAACATTGCTTAACCGAGAGAAAAGTGGCCTTACTTACGACACAATCAACAACAGAGCTGCGGAATTGAAGCGCTCGATAACTCCACTTGCCCAAGAAAACATCTTTGCAACAATCGAAAACCAGATCAACCTTCTCAGAGCTGAAATTAAGGAAAATTCAAAGGAAAAGAAAGCCGAAAAACCGAAGCGAAAACGAGTGGACATCAAACTCATGGAGAGACATTGCATCGCATACACAAAAAACAAGAAATGCAAGTATAACTCAGACTGCAGATACATCAACTCAGATAATCCACCGCAGAAAGTCATCGATGCCGTCAAAAATGCACAATGACTATCTTTGGAATCCGTTCTCGCTTCTTACATCTCACAAAAGCTCATATTCATCAACGTCACTATCAATAATCACACTTGGCCTGCTCTCGTAGACACTGGTGCTACAAAAACTGCACTGCGCTCAGATCTACCTGGCCTTTCTCAAAATTTCTTAACCTCAAAAACACCTGTGTCGATCGCAAACACAGTTATTCATCCAAAATCGCTGAACGAAGACATTGAAATAACGATCAAAACGAAGTCTTCACCGCTAAGTTACAAAGTCAAACCATTGATAATCGATCACCTCGCAGTTCTATGCATCATTGGAATTGATCTCATCAAAAGTATACGACTCAATACCGACTCAAAAACTGATTATGTGATGATCAGCGACAAAGAAATACCAAAAGTTCAATTTTCCAAATTCAATCACCTTCATGCAATCGTCGAAGTTGAAGACTTACAGAAAGACAAAGAAGAACTTCATGAATTTCAACGCAAAAGAGCAAAAAGTGCGACGGAGACAAATTTTATTCCAATCATTGCATCTTATGGTGACACAACTGACTCACAGAAAGAAAAGCTATTTGAACTTACAAACGAACTAAGACTAACTTTTTCAATGGGCGAATCAGACATTGGACAACTTGCATATCAACGATTTACTCTCGATCTTCATGACGAAACCCTTTCAGCACATGAACCACCTCGACGAGTGCCGATTCATCTTCACGAAAAGACCCAAGAGAAACTTAATGAATGACTTGATATAGATGTCATCCGTCCTGGTCAAAGCTCCTTAAACATACCTCTTCTGGTGCTCTGTAAAGCTGACAAATCCATACGCGTTTCACTTGATGCAAGAGAGCTAAACAAACTCCTGATTCCTGATCGATTTCCCCTTGCAGATCTTAGTTCTACTTTGACGAAAATCGGAGAACAGCTAACGAGTGCCAAAGAATGCTTCATTTCAAGCCTGGATCTATCAAAAGGCTATTGGCAAATAAGAGTAAAACCAGAAGACACTCGAAAACTTGCGTTCAGTTTTGACTCCAATCACTACTGCTCAAATCGTATGCTCTACGGAATCTCAACTGCGCCGGCTGCCTTTAGCAGAGTCATGTCCAAATTGTTTTCTCACCCAAATGTACTCGTCTATCTTGACGATATTATTTGTTTAAATGCAACGTTTGAGGAACATCTAGAAACACTCAGATTCGTTTTCCAAACCTGCATCGACAATGGACTCCTCTTGAACACAAAGAAAGTTGCCCTCTGCAAATAATCAACTGAATTTTTAGGACATCGAATCTCAAAAGATGGAATCACAATGACAGATAAGCATATCGAGTGTATCAAAAATCTTGAGCCGCCTACTGATCGAAAATCGCTTAAAAGAATCTAAGGCAATTTTAATATAAAGGACGTCAAAGATGCCTCGCTGATTCTTCGTCCCTTGTATCAACTAACAAGCTCAAAAGTGCCTTACGATTGGAAAGAAGAGCATCAAAAGGCTTTTGAACTAATAAAATCAAAACTGCTGGAACGACCTTCCCTGGGCCATTTCAAAAAGGAGCACCCCTCACAATCGTCTCTGATGCAAGCGGTCACTCAATGGGTGCGTGCCTTTACCAATGCCATGATGGGAAATCTTTAACAGCCTTGGGGTACTTCAGCCGGGAAAAAAGAACTTCTCCACGCACACTAGAGCAAATTCTAAAAGGGCGCGCGAGAGGCGCGAGGGTGGAGCAGCTGAGGCACACGCGAGTAACGCGGTAGGAGATGGGCACACCCGGTAGGTATAATGGGGGTAAGAGGGATTCGCCTGCCCAACTCTGCGGGAAACAGCGAGGCTCACTGGGAAATCGCAAATCTATCGAGGAAAATCATGATCAGAGGGTCGCTGCGACGGTCTGGCTTATCTGCACAAGTTTCACTTTTCGGAGGATCATGAGCATTTTTGCTCAAAAATTTTCAGGAAAAATGTGATTTATACTAATTTGACCATGGCCGACCATTCAACAAAACAGATAGCAGACGCTCGATGCGAGAAAAAGAATTAATAAGTCTAATGGAGAGTATACGATTCTTCGAATACTACTTGCTTGGAGTTGAATTCACGGCAATAACAGATCACAAGTCGTTAATGTTTTTGTACCGAGAACATTCAAAGAAGAAACTAGACAGTCGACTTGCCACTATCCAGCACTATCTCCAAAACCACGACTTTAAGATCATACATCGACCAGGTCACGATCCGATAATGAGTACTGCTGATGCTCTCAGTAGAATACCTTGCTCGCACTCATCAAAGCTGGAAGAGGAAGCTCAAAATTTTGAAGAACCCTCTGATACTCTGTTCATGCTCATCAAGCCAGAAAACGAAGACAAAGTATTTGAATTCGAAAATCGCTCTTTTAAATACTCCGAAATGGCAGAAATGCAAGCAAAGTGCTCAAAAACAAGAAACATCATCGAGAAGCTAACTAAAAAGACCTCGACAAAATTCAAAATCGTCAAGGAAGTTCTATTTGCGGAAAGTAAAAATGACCTGAGATTGGTTCTCCCAGAAGCACTCTCAAACGAGTTCTTAATTTACCTACATGTTCTCACAGCACATTCCGGATCGAAGGCGCTAATCAACCTAGTCAAACGATTCTACATTCATCAAGTGCAAGATCGAGTTCGTTCCATTACAACAAGTTGCGCCATCTTTGTTAGAATCAAGCCTCAGAAGAAGCTTAGACCAAGCATGATTCCGAACCGATTCTTCGAATCAACGCCTTTTTCAAAATGTCATATAGATCTGATCGACATGGGCAGAGCGGACAACCAAGACAAACGATACCTCCTAACATGTGTCGATGAGTTAAGCTCATACTTGGATGGAGAGCCTCTGCACAATAAATCAGACAGTGCAGTCGCTCGCGCTCTTCTCAAACTCATCTTACGTCATGGAATCAATGGTGTAATAGTAAGTGATAATGGAAAAGAATTCGGACCACTCTGCAAAGAAATAATGGACCGATTCGATATCATTCATATAAATACAACTGCGTATCGATCCTGCTCAAATGGTAAAGTCGAACGATCACATCGTGACATTTCAAAGTTCATTAAAACACTTGGTGGAAACAACAGAAACTGGTCCCTTAAATGGCCAGAATCCTGCTACCATATGAACAATCTGCCGCGAGAATCACTTGACTCTCTGTCTCCGAATGAATGTATATTTGGACGTTCATTCCATACTCCGTTCCGAGTTGATGGCATAACTGGAAAGAAAGAACCTTTCGTTCGCGCTCTAAACGAATACTTAAAAGAACTTAACCCGGCTCTTCTGAAATTTCACATGGATCGATATTATCAACTTGTTCAGAAAGACAAAAATAATGCCCCAGTTCTCCCCATCGGCTGCAAAGTCTTAACTTTCAAGCCAGACTTATTCAGTTGTAAGCTTGGAATCAACTGGGATGGTCCTTACTATGTCAAATCACGCATGTCAAAAGACAGCTATATTCTGATGTGCCCAAGAACGAATCGAAAGTATCGCCGTCATCTCCAAAACATCCGTCCACTCAAAACCTTCGACGAAACAAAGACGAAAGCAATCATCCCAACAAATAACAAACAAGACGACGAAAATGCTGACATCACAGATGACGAGACATTCGAAAATGAAGTGATCAATAACGAAAAGTCCGAAGATTCACTCGATCTTAAAACGCTCTTCGACGAAGAAAAACCTTGGTCAAATCGTCTAAGACCAAGAAAGAATTGCTCAAAATGATAAAAAGGGAAGGAATACCCTTGGCCTTGCTCCTTCTTTTGTATTCTTAAAAGTCAAGACCTGAATTTCAAAAACAAGCGCTTATACAGTAATAATCTCATAATAACTTACTCATCATGACGGATGCTCGCAAGGAACCGAAATACTGATGAAGTCGTGATCAAATACCCAAGAACCGAAAATCGCCGCGATCAAAATGTCAGCTCACAATGTCAATGTCACACATTAGAGGTTCAATCACTCAGGCTATTCCGAATTTCGAAGTGATAATCAATTATTAATGTTCTACAAATCGGCCGAACTGTATTACTGCAATGATGTAACTTCACTTCAAAAGGAAGAATAATGGGCCCGGCAAACCCATCTCACGAGACAAAAGAAAAATACCTAAATTAAAAGAATTTCCGAGAACACCTGGCCATGCGCGCGCCAGACAGTCGCCGAAAATCAGCTGTGCAAACAAAAAGGATGAATTAATCGAAAAATGAAAAATTTGAAAATCGTCAAGAAACATCACAAAGAGAGAATGCGAAACACAATCAATACGTTTTTGTTTTTCCTACAAGAAGATGATAGAAAAAATATGTACATTCAATTCGCTCTATCGTACATCTGCAACTGGATCCTGCCACTCCCTGCAAATATCGACTCAGAGAAGAATCAGCTCTTGAGAGATTATCTTGACTTGATTGACAGAGAAATCGGATCTCAATCCTACTCCTACGATGAACTGAATTTGCAACTTAGATCAATTAACGCTGAAACCCTTTGCACATGGACATATAAAGCAATTCTCTTTCGTAAATCACAGAATCACAACGAGCTCCATGCCGATAAGATTAAAAAGATTATCGACAGCTTTGAAAAACAGTTCTATTCAAAACGACTCTTATGGAATGAATTGGAAGAACAAACGAATATCTCGCTTCATAATCTTCTGGAAAAAACTAAAATGCAATTCTACAGTGAATTAAGTTACATGAACCTTGGATATGAAATGAGAAAAATTCACCATAATCACCAAGAAGAATCTATTATCTACGATTTTGAAAATCCGCCAGCTGACTCACACAATCACGACAACGAAAAACAGAAGTCTCCTCCAGGATACGAATCCTCAAGTTCCGATGGCGAAACAAGAATTGCAAGTGATCGTCTTGAAGCCATCATAAATAATCGTCCTTTTTAATAAAAGGGGGAAGAATGTATAGAGATTTTGCTCTAAGGCGCCAAAATTCATCGCGCCGCGCTTGCAGCAAAACCAATCTCACTCGTTTTTATCCACACGCGCGAAATTCCTCCGCGCCGCTCAACGCGACTCAAACTCAATCACGCCGAATTCGCTGGTCTCCTTTCCCAATCATCCGAATCATTATTTTTAAAAATTGTTTATATCTACTGAAACTCACTCCTTCTCGTTCATCCAGACAAACACTCTAGCAGTAGATTATAATTTCATTGTGCTAGAATTACTCCAATCTCAAACCGCTCGTTTCCAACTAACTCCAATCTTATTTCTTTTATCTGAATATACACTTTAACCAAATGGTTCCAATTCCCTTTATAAATCCGTGCCCTGTTCTGTTCAACCACCCACATTCGACAACCCGAAATAAACTCACAAACTACGATCCGAGTCTAGAGAGTTCCTGCATAAGAGATCTAAGAAGCAAAACCTCTACAGAGGTGTTCTAGAAGCATCAAAAATGACCACCCTCCGAAACCCGGGGTTTATGCCATAATACCCGGGATTCGGAGGGTCACCCCTCTTTATTTACTTCCCCCGCGCCCCTTTTTTGCGAATTTCACGGCCAACTTTTGCCCAAATTCAAAAATTCAAAAAGAATAAATGTGAGAGTCTTTATTTTGTGGGTTGCTTCTGGTTGTTGCATGTCAGCACTTCCAGAAAGCGGCGATAGGGAAGAAAATTGAAACATGCGGGGTAAGAGGGATTTTTTTTTGAAGATTTGATTGTAAGTAAATAAAATTTTTTGAAATTTTTTTTTGCAAATAATATCTTCAAGTCTTCATCTTTCATTTCTGACTCTTTGTTTGTTTCTCTATCATTACTGGCTGATGAGCTAGAGAGAATAAAAGAAGCGCAACTTCAAAAGGATTCAACTTCTGCAAACTTCATTATATTTTTCTGAAACCGGTACCATTGAAAAGCCCATTAAATTCTGAACAGATTCCACGTAATGCGCTAAGCTGAAAGTGTACTTATTGCCCTTCGCGCGCTGATAAACAAAAGAACTTAACCCTTTGGGCGCACGTGGCATTTTAAAACGCAACAAGATCGTTCGAGAAATTCACCCCAAAATCTTACGCAACTTTGACATCAATTATGAGTCACTGATAAATTATCAACATTTGACAATTATTGTCAAATCGGAATAAAATTCAGCTCAACTGAAAGACCAAAGCCTGAAGAACAAAAATCATTTTTCAGAATTATAAACTTCCATCTAAAAGTACGAGAAATAGGTGAAAAAGCCTGTGGCGTTTTTAAGCGCCACGCGATTGCCAACGCATAAGTTTCCCCTCGCGCCCAATGAGTTAAATTCTTAAGCGCTCTAAGCACGGCAGAACGCCCCGATGATCGGAGTCCGATCGGGCTATTTTGGGGTCCCGAGAGATGATTCCCGCTGAGCGCGCGCTAAGTTATCTTGTTTATCTAACCTTTATCGCAAAAAAGTACAGTTTCAGCTTAGCGCATTACGTGGAATCTATTCAGAATCTAATGGGCTTTTCAATGGTACCGCTTTCAGGAAAATATAATGAAGTTTGCAGGAGCTGAATCCTTTTGAAGTTGCGCTTCTTTTATTCTCTCTAGCTCATCAGCCAGTAATGACAGAGAAAAACAAAGAGTCGTAAATGAAAGATGAAGACTCAAAGATATTATTCGCAAAAAGAAATTTGAGTTCGTTTTTATTGCAGGCTTAACGTTTTCGGAACAGAAATTCCATCATCAGAGCCGGTTGCTTGAAAATTTGACGATCTTTTAACACAGGAGGAACTAACCTTGTCTTTAAGAAGAGTGAACTGATCAAAAATCCGAATAATAACTTGATCCCTTACCATATTCTAGAGAAAATAATCAACCCAAACTTATTTTTTTACAATCTCAGAGGCTCCAATTACCTTAAAAACTTGCCTCTGAGTGGTATCACAAAATAAAAATTTTCCGATGGTGAATCTGTTTATTTAACTGCGGATCTTTAAGCACGATTTCTAGACCTTCAACTTGTTTTCTTTTGTCATAAGAGAGATTTTTATGTTATATCGAAAAATGTGAGCTAAGAAAATTAAATCGAGATGTAGGATTATTTTGCTGATATTCCTCAATGAAACCTGTCTTAAAATCATCGCACTCTTTTGTATGAGAATATATAGCTGTATCTTTTGATGGTTGTCCATGATCTCGGATTCTCATGCTCAAGGATTCCGACTCCCCAATATACTCTAGGCCGCACCGACATTTAAATGAATACACCACATTAATGGCCTTTTCAAATTCCGTCTTCGGCAGTAGACTAGAGATTATCGTATTACGCATCGTTACAGTAGACAATGCCGTGTGCAAATTAAATTCTGGCAAAAACACGGATATTACACCTGCGCAGCTCGCTGGTTATTCGGGAGACTCTCTGACTCGTGTAAGGAATACAGAGTGTAAAATTCCTCTCTGGATTTTCAGACTTTTCCAATTTCCAGTCTTTTTTACAGGGGTGACCATTTGGGCATTTGGCAAATCGGGCAATTTTCGGGCAAAAACGCTTTTGGGCGGGCATTTGGTCGGCTCAACGCCTGAAAATAGATGGGCAACATTGGAAAAGTCGGGCATTTGGGCATTTTCTGGGCAGTTGGGCACCATCGGGCAGTTGGGCAAATGCCCACCGGGGAAAATCAAGAACGTGGGCGTTTTCCTGTCCGCTTATTGGTCGTTAAGCTCACAAACAAGAAAAAAGATATAAGGAGAAGGTTCTGCAAGGGTGTGTGAAGTGGACCTCTTTGGTTAGCTGTCTACCTTTGACCTCTTAATCCTTTTGTGAAATTATCCCTACCCTTAACTCAGCCCCTTATTTGCGGAGATGGTTCTGCAAGGGTGTGTGAAGTGGACCTTCATGGTTAGCTGTCTACCCTTGACCTCCAGATCCTTTTTAACCCTCATTTTTCCAACCCCATTTTTGAACCACTTTTTTCGAGACGAATATGCAAGAGTGTGTGAAGTGGACCTTAATGGTTAGCTGTCTATTCTTGACAACCTGATCGATCTTTTACAAAATTATTTTTAACCGCTTTTTAAATATATTTCAAACCTTCCAAATGTTCAACTGTAATAAATTATTGAGAGACATTTAAAAAATTAAAGTTTTAACAAGCCCGAAATACTTGGAAAATTTTTGCCCGAAAAATTGCCCGATTGGGCATTCTGGGCACATTGGACTGGGCGGGCAATTGGTCGGCCCGACGATGATTTTTTGCCCAAATGGTCACCCCTGTTTTTATCCATTTTACCTTCTTTAACGTCTCTAACTGCATCACGTATAATTCCTAGGGGAAATTCTTGAGAGAGATATTTCTGTTCTATCTCTTTTTATTCTTCGTCAAGAGTTTTCTGACAAGAATGCTTGTAAAATGACCTTTTTTTTTCTGATATTAGAATTCCCTTTTTCAAAGAGACCAGAGCAGTATCTTTTACAAAATTCATCGGAACTGTATGATGAATTTAAAAAACTTTTTTGCAGGCAAAATTCAAACTTTGCCTGTTTTCATACCTAGCAGAAAGCCCGTAAAATTTCGAGTCGCCTGGACTAGATTTGGGCCAAAACCGTCATACGGTGACGTCATAAATGACGTATAAAGTTGGCAAAAATGGCGATTTTGGCCAAACTTTGAGTCAGTTTTTAGGGGCTTTATTAAAGGAATTTTTCGGTGTTTTATAGCTCAAATTGATCCTTGTGAAAAACTGAACTAAGGTTTTCAAGATTTTTTTATTTGGTTGAAAATTTTTTTTCAGGAAATTCTAGAGCCCAGTTTTTCAAAAATTTTTTAAAAACCCTTAAAAACCTTAGTTCAGTTTTAAATAAGCTTTCATTTGAGCTATAGAACACTCCTTAATTCCATCGGGAAGGCAATTAAAATTTGACTCAAAGTTTCGCCTATTTGGGACCTTCTGACGTCATTTGTGACGTCATTCTCTAGAAAATTTCAAAAACGATTTGGTCAAATCGACTCAAAATTTTACGGGCTTTCATAGGGGTACAAAATCCGGCCAGGTCAGAAATTTGCCTGCAAAAAGTTTTTTAAATTCATCTATGTTTACGATTGTTGCGTATTTGTAGGATATTTGATTCTGAAGGATAAATAATAAAATCAAGGAATTTAAAACCTCTTTGACAAGATCTTTCGACTGTAACTTTAAGACTTTCATGGAGATTTTACTAAGACCGGAAATGCTTGATTTTAGCAAAATCGTAGAGACACAATTTTCAAAAAATAAATTTCGGTATAAGTAATTTTTCAATCAAAAAACCTTCTGTCATTTTTAAGATAAAGGTTCAAATAAAATATTTAAATCATAATATTTCTAAGTTTTCAGGCTAATTTTCGAGCTATTCGACCGTTTATTTAGGCCATTTTCGAATAGTTGATTACTTTGAGTTAGAAATTAAACGACTTTTTATTGAGCAAACCGAAAACGCTTCTGACAGATTAAAGATCTAAGATAGATGTACTTTTAGAGCCTATGTGTTCTCCATCATTATTGATATGTTTAGAGTTATTCAATGGTAAAATTGGGGAAATCGAAGGTAGTACCCTTAAAATACTTGTCGAAACAGCGAAAAGACGTTAGACGAGTGAGCACTCTTTTTAAGGTAATTGGAGCCTCTGAGATTGTAAAAAAATAAGTTTGGGTTGATTATTTTCTCTAGAATATGGTTAGGGATCAAGTTATTATTCGGATTTTTGATCAGTTCACTCGAAATGTTCGTTTATGTATAATCTGAGATTTTCAGAAGATTATAACTAGAGGAAGGCCAAATCGACAAAAATTGTACACTTCGGGTAAGGGGGTTCTTTAGGCAGCTTCGGGTATAGGGGTTAAAGACAAGGTCAGTTCCTCCTGTGTTAAAAGATCGTCAAATACTCAAGCAACCGGCTCTGATGATGGAATTTCTGTTCCGA